CCCCCACCCCGCTTTAAAATAAACTTTAAACCACTTCAACAACATAATTCTCATAACATAAAGGCTATTCTACAAAGTGAATGATAAGTGAGTCTAATAATTCCCTTGTAAGAGCAGACTGCTGTTGCGATTTCCGGCAGCATCCCCATCACAGACCATATCGCAATTCCAAAGTGTAGCGCATTGTGGGATAGTTTTGACCGAATTGAACTGAGACCGAACATAATCCCGCCAATCACAAAGCGCGCACAAAATTAACTTTCCCACAGTGCCCTAAAATTTAAAATTGCGATATGGTCTATGGCCTTAGGGTTTTATTTTCTCATGCTGTGACAAAAGCTCACCGTAGGTTAACTTTTACTCTTAAACAACATAGCATCATGAAACGGACAATAGTTCCACGTGCAAATAAATCAAGAAAATGAAAATAAATCTACCTATACATCTGAATGTCCGTGGATGCACCAGCATATCTCGGCCAGTGTCGCCTCATGTGCAACGAACCATGTCATTAATGAAGCTGACAATAGCATATGTAACGATCCATGTCATTGGTGGAGCTGGCAATGGCGCATATAACGAACCATATCATTGGCGGAGCTAACAACGGTGCAAGACCAGATCCCAAGGTGAGTACTATGATAAATGATTCGATGACAAGGCTGTAAAAAGAAGGCGTGGAGAATTGATGAGTAGCCCAGGGCAATGTATTGTAAGAGAACGGTAACCATTGATAGCTCGACAAAGACAATATTTGGTAGCTTGGTGTATCACAGAGTGAGGGAATGCAGGGTGCGGGGCCGGGGCAGACAGGGGCGGAAATCTTGGTATTATCAACCGACATGATTTAAGGGGATGTCTGTTGAAGAAATGAGTTAATGCAGAGTTATTGTCATTTTCTGACAAGTTTAAAGCGGAGGGGTCGTCACCTGAGCACGCACAGGAATTGAGTTTCAAGCCACGATGACAACGCATGCTAAAACGCAAAGGCTCATAGGTTTACGTTTGTTTGTAAACAATGACACGCTATGGCCATCTGACGCATGCGCAGGTGACGACTCCCCCGCTTTCCATGACACAATCTCTGCACATAAATTCATTATACAGGTATGATATTACTTGTTATTATTTCATAACCTTTGACCCTAAATTTGATTGGTGAGAAACATGGACGTATCACATGGGCGATTTTCGCACCCCGTCTGTCATGCAAATCCACTGTCTGTATTCGGTAGATCCCCGGATGTACCTTATTGAAGCCATGGAGGAACCCTGATATACTGTTTTGTTGAAATCGCTACATGTCAGCCATTTTTAGCGAATTTGACAATGCGCGAAATAACAACATTTTAATTTAGCTAATGTGCAAACAATCACATCTGACTTATTAGCGACATCATGAGTGGAGTCAAATTAGCTAAAACGGAATATAGCTATTTTGACGTGATTTACAGTATTCTTAGAAGCAACGTTTATATTGCAGATGTACCCTGCATATTCCCGGATGTATCCCACATACTGTGAAAGACTTTATATTAGCTCGAATTTATTTTTGCTGAAACGGCTTTTTTTGTGTGTTTTTTATGGAGTTTATCTTCACTGATTTTTGATGAGTTGAAGGTAAAACATAGGAAAAAAACTATATTCACTGGATTTTATTTTCACTGAATCATCCCTTCAGCGAAAATAGCGAAAATTAATTCCAAGCGAAAATAAAGTATTTAACAGTATGCCCGGGTATACCTCACATATACCCGGATGTACCCTAGTTAAAATACAAGCTTGTGTTGTTATGATTATGACATTAACAATGCGACAATATTTCATTCACACTACCTCGTTCCTTTGCTATGACAACAAAATCGTCTTATTTAGCTAAGGCAATCTTATCGCTATGTCTACCCTGATAAGAAATGCTTTAATCAACACGTGTGTGAATGGCACATCGCAACAGGCTGGTCATTCTCGATATGGAGTTGGTTGCTATAGAAACTTAAACACTACATTGGAACTGGCAACGCTTAGTGTGATCGATCCCCGTTTATCTCAAAGGGGTCAGAGTTCAAACCGCGAATAGAACAATCGGCATTCGCAATGATACAACTTAATAAGCAGAGACAGCTTTGGCAATCAATCAATCAATCAATCAACTAATCAATTAGCTAGCCAGCAAGTGATAATTCAACTGTATAAATCAAGAACGTTTTTTTTTTAAAAATTAGTGAACTTGAACGAAACCGATCTCGTGGTTGATCACGAAAGTTGGGTGTAATAAAGAGAGCCTTTGGGGACACCCGTGCTGCAATTAATATTCGTATATATTGATTGCTATATGGTTCGAGACAACAAAGCTGCCTGTCTTTGACAAGTATTTCTAAAGTAGGGCACCCCGTGATCAGCCCCCCCCCCGCATTGAACTGCTTACACATGTCTCACGGGTACCAATTATGAATAAAACATAACACAATTTCGACAAGTTGAAGAGCCAAAGCAATGTTTCTAATGTTTGTAAACGAAGTATATTATTACGAGAGTATACTTTATTACAAAATGGCCTCCAAGATCTCGCTGAGAGCGAGAGAGCTACGTGACCGGTATTTGCTCTTCGAATAGTGTTATTCTCCTACTATTTGTGGCTCCCTCACTTTCAACGAAATCTCGGCGGCCATTCGCGAATAAGGCCTATTAGGAAAAGGCAGAACAAATCACGTGACTCTCTCACTCTCAACGAGATCTTGGCGGCCATTCGAGAATAAGGTCGATTGGGGAGGGACAAATCAAGTCGCGTGGCTCTCTCACTCTCAACGAGATCTCGACGGCCATTTACGAATGAAGTATATTGTAATCAAATTATATTACGTTGACATCTTAGTATTGTAGAGATGAGAGTATGGTACAGAATATAGAGATAATCGCCGACTACATCGGCCTCTTTATAGCGCGTGGTGATTTCCACATTTTAGTATTCAGTAGCTTGCAAATGCACCAATCATAGTCCCCCTCTTCCACAGGGGACCAATCTATTTGCTCGTAGAAGCAGACGATTAGAACCCTCGTTGTAAAACAAGCACAGATTGGTTATTTGCTTTCACGACGTGTACGCGTGAATATTCCAATCATAGCTCCCAAATACAGGCTTTGTCGACGTATATGGGAGTATGTTTGAAGTGCAGCAGAAAATACTAGTAGACGAAAAATGTCGTCGATTTGTGGTGTTGGAAGATACTTAAAGCGGAGGGGTCGCCACCTGCGCACGCGCGGGAATTGTGTCATAAGCGACGATAACAACGCACGCTAAAACGCAAAGGCTCATGGGTAGACGCTTGTTTGATAACAACGACACGCTACGGGGATCTGCCGCATCGCAGTTGACGACTCCCCGCTTCGAACATACCTCAATAAAGTAGATCTGTAGTATCGTTGGGTAATGCATGTGTATGATTTTATCCCCCCCCCCCCCACACACACACATTATAAAATCGCGTGTACGTATGAGACGGGACCCAACTTATCACGGGGTACGTGCTACCGGCCTACTGCCTTAGGCGATGTTTAAGCGTATGTCGACATATTCTAATCACCAGTCATTTCTTTTTTTGAATTGTCAAAACAAAATCACAAAACATTGTGTGATAGTGTACGCTTATCTGTGTTTTGGAATGAAAAAAAAAAAAAACATGTCCCGAACTCGCAATTATACATGGCAGCCTCCATCGCCTGGCAACGTCACGCGCAGACAGTCACTCCTTGGGATATGCGTGAGTTGTTACGGTGTGGGTACGGACATCTGTCTGCTCTCGCCATGGAGGTACAGCCAGCGGTGGTTTGAAAAAGTAATGAACCCGCTGTGGGACCAGTAACTTTTCACGTTATTAGGCAAGTTTTATTTTCTTCAAATTCAAGGTGAGGTATGGAGTCGTTAATATTCATGACCTCATTCCTAATTACTTCGGAACCGAAGTTAAAAGTAATACGCGCTCAACCGAGACGTGAACTATGTCGGTTGTCGACTATTGAGACTGGGTGCTGCAGGAGTGGGCCAATGTCCCTGTCGGGGTGATTAGCCTAAAACTAAATCTCGATAGAGTCGCATGCGTAATGTGACACGCATTTGTAACAGAACAGTATGTGTGCATTTATAAATATACTAACAAATTTTTGTTGTCTAGTTTTCCCTGCAGTAATAATGTTTTCCAGATCAGCGTCCTCATCGGAATTAATGGTCCATCCCTAGATTCGTTACACATTCGGTCAGGCATATTAAAGGAAGTGCACAGCGTAGTTTTTCGATCAATCGGGACAAGTTTTCCAATTTCATAACGAGTAAATGCATAGCCAGTACTAGTATACCCCAGCCGGTTAATAACGTCACATAATATTATCATTTCCGACGTCACGTAACCCCCCCCCCCCACCACGCGTACCCCAAATGTTACATAGTTACGCGCACTAATGGTCTACCTACATTAACTGCCGTCGACAGCAGCTGTCGTCAAAAGTTCTATACCGACCTTGGTGCGACTACACCCAGGCAAACAGACGTCACCAATCTATTGACTTTGACATACTTCTCACGGTCTAGCATCCGCAGTAATGCCCGCCAGTACCCAACGACACTCTCCACCAGCGACCTTAATCAACAGGTATTTACACATAAAACTTAAGTTCGAGGTCGGAACGTTCCACTTTAATGCGGGGGGGGGGGGCAAACATTCAACAGGTGGGTGAACTAACAATTACGGCGGCGCACCACACAGCCAATCTCGCGCAAGCCGATGACGAATTCGACACAAACTGAAAGAAACTGCGATGCAAAATCTCGGAATATCAATAGTGACCACGAGACTGGTGCATTCTTATGGAACACGTCAAATTACCCACAATACAACACGGCTGCAGTCCCTCTTTAGACGACTATATTCTTGTTGGGTCCAGTTAATATTAAAGCTATACTGTCTCTAATATTTTATTGGCACTTGACCCGTGACGTCATTTAATGCATATAACAAATCCTACAATCACGATATTCACCGGTAGTCCCTTGTTTGTTTATTTTTCGGTATTTTTTTCAGTAAAATAAAATTTTATGGGAATGTATAAATGGCGCGGGAATTGAGTCCCAAGCGACGATAACAACACACGCTAAAACGCAAAGGCTCATGGGTAGGCGCTTGTTTGTAAACAATGGCACGCTATGGTCATCTGACGCATGCGCAGGTGACGACTCTCCCGCTTTAAGTCATATACAGTAGTACCCTGATTTGACTACTGCAAGTGTACACATATCAACGTGACGTATGAATATATAATTAGCAAAAGTAAAGTGAATATTTGTCGTGGTTTTGACTTTTATCACACAATTCAGAATTTTTTTGAATGGAAGATGGGCGCCACGTGTTCATTTGTGTGACATTTTCCCAATTTTTGTGCTCATTTCACCCAAACTGCCGCGAGATTTCGTGTTGTTCACTTCGTGATTTCATTCATTTGTGTTAACTATAGGTGAATATAAAACCGAAACTGAGCATATTATACTAGTTGTGTTCGGTGCAATGCATGTCGGGAGCAGAATTCGAAGCAGCACTGAATAACAGGTAAGCTGCGAACGCTTTATGTAAGGATTCAATTG